TGGAATAAAGAAAAAAAAGTGACCAAATGTTACATTTAATTACAGATTCAATCAACAATGTATTTTCCCTGATTATCTATGACTTCCTTCCATCTATTAACAAACTTAATAATTCCATTACTGTAAAATTCTTTTGGCTTTCATTCGAAGAACTCACAAATATCAGTTTTGACCTCTTCCTGTGTTACAAAAGCTGTTTCTTCCAAATGATTCTGTAAGCTACGAAACAAATGGTTGTCTGAAGGAGCAAGATCGGGAGAATAAGTTGGATGAGGAATTTTCTCCCAACCAAGTTCTTCGATCTTTTGTGACGTGATTCTTGCTGTGTGGGGTCGCGCTTTGTCCTGATGAAATATCACCTCTTTTCGATTCACTAGAGCAGGTCTTTTTTTTCCTCAAAGATTGGTTCAAACGCTCTAATAGCTGACAGTATATTTGAGCATTAATTGTTGCATTAGGTGGTAAGAATTCAAAGTGGATTATTCCTTGGCGATCCCACCAGATTGCAAGAAGAACCATTTGCCCATGAAGTTCCTTTCTCGGCCGTGGCTGGGGTGCTTCCCCTTTACCAAGCCACTGTCTACGACGCTTAACATTTCGATAAAGGATCCATTTTTCGTCGCCAGTTACAAGTCTACCCAAAAAAGGTGAAACAAGTTGGCGAGAATGGAGAGAAGAGCAGATATCAACTCGGGATTTCAGGTTGTTTTCAGACAATTCATGAGGAATCCATTTTCCAAGTTTAGGAACTTTTCCAAGTTGTTGAAGATGACGATGAACAGTTGTATGGTTTGAACTGAGAACCACTGCCAATTCCTCAACTGATAAAGCAGGATTTTCTTCAAGGGCTGCTTCAAGAAGCTTTTCATCAAACTCAATTGGACGTCCGGTTCGATCTTCATCTTCAAGGGTGAAATCTCCACCTCTGAATTTTGCAAACCATCTTCTGCAAGTTCTTTCATTCACACATTCCTCTCCATAAACTGAGTGAATGTTTCTAGCCGCTTCGGCTGCTGAGTTTCCTTTCTTGAACTCATAAAGCATTATGTGCCTCAAATGATTCTTGGGTACTTCCATGTTAGCAGGGTTTTCATCAAACAAAATTGAATTTTATTGTTCTCTGAAATAACATTTGATCAGTTTAAATGCATCTAAAAATAAAAATAATGTTCAGCTCCATTAGACATTATAAAATACTCTTTAAATTTCGTTCATTTTAACAAAAAGTTAAAATTCCGACAGAACTTATGGGATGACCTGATACATGTAGCCACTAATTGATTTGTTGATTGAATTGATTTTTTTTGTTTTACGGAATATCAACCTCAATGGGTTATTTAATGCCGACAAAATGTTTATTGCTGGTAATATTTTGTTTTGTCAAAAATCTATTCTTGGTAATATTTTTTCCTTCAAAAATCTATTTCTGGTAATATTTTTCCTTCAAAAATGTATTGCTGGTAATAATTATTTTTTCAAAAACGTATTCCTGGTAATATTTTTACAAAGTTTTTCTGGTATTAAAACTTACTTTTACACTTTCATAATGTTTTGACCCAAGTTGTCCATAGCTGGGACCTTAACAGGTGCTACCACCCTGGGTCAGGTTGGACTTGTGAACCACAGCAATTAAGAGATGATTCCACGATCCCCAAAACCTCTTGATCAGAGGCCTTGCTGTTGGACGTAGTTTATCGTCTTACCCAGGAAGCGGATGTAGTTTATCATCATACCCAGGACAGATGTAGCCACTAAATATAACAGTTATAGTAGTAAGAAATATGCATGCATATATATATATATATATATATATATATATATATATATATATATATATATATATATATATATATATATATATATATATATACAAATGAAAAAATACAACAGTTTGATAGTGTCAATGGATTGCAGGCTTTATGCAAGAAAGGGTTATGCAACAAAACATTTCTTTTTTGACAGATCTAAATATGAATACCCGGAAATAAAGGCTGACATTCCGAACTCTTGTCTCATATTCATCTTTTTGATCTTAAAGCCATATTTTTTTTCAGTGAACAACAAAAACAAAACAATTGGCCTTGCCGTTCCAATACTTTTGGAGGACACTATCTCTCTCTCTCTCTCTCTCTCTCTCTCTCTATATATATATATATATATATATATATATATATATATATATATATATATATATTTATATATATATATATATATATATATATATATATAGTCGACTCTCCGTTGTATTCGTATATGAGGGTGAAGCAGCTCAGTTCCTAGGAATCGACAGACAGACATTAGCACATGTGATTTGATTATAGTGGTGAAGCTTTTATGTACAACCCTCCACACTTCCGGCTTCATGCTTTCCAGCCAATTTAATCTGAAAAAATTTAAATGCAATGTCAATCACTATATCATTTCCTCCTGATTATTCTTTTCTCTTTCCGATCATTATTAATGTTTCTGTTCCTTATTCTTCCACACCCTGTAACGCTTTATGTTTTAGTGGTTTTACTGCCTTCCATGGATACTGATTAATATATATAACTGTATCAACCTGCGACCCATTGATTTCATCAAACCGTTGCATTCTTAATTTGTAATGCTTTTCCAGAATTTTAACGCACGCTCTTTCGCTTCTTGTTTGTTTCGGGGTCAAACTTCCTGCAGTCAGGAGATAAAATGCATACTTTATTGGGTTAAAGTCCGGTGATTGATGTGGGCAGTTTAAAATTATCCAATTTTTTGCGCCTGATGAAGTCCTTTTCTTTGTCGGTAGCATGTTTTGAGTCATTGTCCTGTTGCATGATAAACTTCCCCCTAATCAGTTTGCATCCATTTCCTTGTAAATTGACAGACCGGTGAGTGACTTGGCCAGCCTAAAACTGCACACTTCTTCCCCCTGATGAATTCCTTAGTTGTGCTGACGGTATGTTTTGTGCTATTGTCCTGCTGCATAATAAACTTCCACTACTATTGCCGTTTCAATAATACAAAACTTTCATTAACGGCGACTGACAATGTTTTTTTTTATTTAATGTTAATTGTATTTAATAAAACATATATAAAAAAGGGATTGCTGCCCAAACATACAATTATATATATATATATATATATGTATATATATATATATATATATATATATATATATATATATATATTATATATATATATATATAATGTATATAATATATAATATATATATATATATATATATATATATATATATATATATATATATATATATATATATATATATATATATATATATATATATATATACTAAGGAGTCACTGCTGGGGGTGCTTATTCTAAAAAATAAATATATAAAAGTTCCTCACTGCCGGTAGCTGATAGCTCAGGGGAAAAATCTCCGACTGATGTCAAATAGGTTTTGTTTCGGCCCTGGTTTCAAGCAATCGCATTCTAGACCCACTGATGAGCTATGATACAGCGAAGCAGTCCGCCTATGGATAACACACACACACACACACACACATATATATATATATATATATATATATATATATATATATATATATATATATATATGACAAAAATTGAAATAGAGTTCCCGTACCGTACACCTTTTATTAAAAGTATGCATAAAAAAATTGAGTGGAATTTTGTTTCCAACCCAATATATATATATATATATATATATATATATATATATATATATATATATATATATATAGAGAGAGAGAGAGAGAGAGAGAGAGGATGAATGTATAGATAGATATGGATCTCCAAGAACTATTTAATTCCAATTGTATGTATTTCCATTCATGTAAATCCTGTTTGCCCGTATGAAAATATTACTTGCGATTGATGTAAACGTCCCATTAATGAGTCACTGTATATATACAGTCATCTTTTCTGTTACCGCTATGGTGTTTTTGAAATGTACTGCTAGTTTGCTTTTAACATTACATAATCATTTCTGAAATATGCCTTGCTGAAATCACTTAACGTTTAGTATATCGTGTGCATTTTATGCCGTCTTCTATGGTACCTAGTAAAATCAGAAGTGAAGAAAACTGTGTACCCCTTAGACATTAACATCAACCCCTGGTACCTGTGGGTGACACGTATTTTATTCACTCTGAAGTTAATTAAAGTATGATTTGATATGACAGTAATGTAAAAGATGGCCTACTTACGTTTGATAATCGAAATTCTGGTTTTTATCTCAGCTCAAAAAACAAACTCTTGCGTCAGATGAAATCTGTATCTATTCGCGCCACAAGACAGGGAGCCCAAAGTGGCTTGCTATCAAGAAGAAAGGAATGTTAAAAGAAAAGTCTTAAAATTCGCGTGTTACTTTTGAATTAGATTCCATGAAGCCCAATTCATTTGTTAGAACCGGGGAACCGGAGACCGGAAGAAGGTTTTTTTTTTTTTTTTGTAAAAAAATAAAATGAAATAATAAAGTAAAGTATCAAAAGCAAACACTGAATAAAATGCCGACTCTGTTAAAATAAGAAGAAAAATAGTTCGAGTGGTGCGGAATAATGTGAAAGCAGTTCTATGTCGGGACTTTTTTTTTGCGTAAACATTAAACCTTCCGTGGGTTTGAACTTGCCTGAAGCAAGAATTGAAACAAATAAAAAGAAAAGAAAATGTAACCCCGTAAAAAGAAAGAAATGAAATCAGAAAGAGAAAAAAAAAAAAAAGAAAAATGAAAATAATGAATAAGACTGAGAAAAGTAAGTGAAAACTCCTGAAAGTAAAAAGAGCGATAAAAATTTTAGGAAAAAGAGGTGGAAAGAGAAAAGGCCGGAAAGAGAAGTAGGTTGCAGGAGCTAAGGAATAAAAAAAGAAAATGTCATTAAAGAATTATGAATGAAAGAGGGAACAAAAAAAGAAAAAAAAATGAAAAATTATAAGAAAATTGATAATGAAGAAAGCAAAAGATTATACAAATGAAAGAAATAAAGAAAGAAAGAAAGAAAGAAAGAAAGAAGGGAAACAACAACAAAAGGAAAATATAATTTTTAATAAATAAGCAAAGAAAGAAAGGAAAAATTAAAGCGAAAAGTGGAAAAGAAACAACATAGAATAATGACAGAAGGAGAAAAAGTAAGGAAAAAAAACGAAAGAAAGAAAGAAAAGAAAACGGAGCAAAAGGCAGAAGAAAAGAAAAAACAATAAAAAAGCAAGGAAACTATGAGAAAGAAAGAAAGAAAGAAAGAAAGAAAGAAAGAAAGAAAGATAAGAAAAGTGATAATTAAAAGGAAAAACCTTGAAAGGTAGTAAACTGAAGAAAGAAAGAAAGAAAGAAGAGAAAAGTGATAATTAAAAGGAAAAACCTTGTAAGGTAGTAAACTGAAAGAAAGAAAGAAAATGACAGAAAGAAATAACCTTGGAAGGTAGTATAGGAAATAAATAAATAAATAAATAAATAAATAAAGAAAGAAAGAAAGAAAGAAAGAAAGAAATAAGAAGAGGAAAGTGATAATTAAAAGGAAAAACCTTGAAAGGTAGTAAACTAAAGAAAGAAAGAAAGAAAGAAAGAAAGAAAAAGAATTTAAAAGAAAATCTATACTTGTAGAAAGAAAAAGGATTAGAAAGATCGAGCGGACGTGAAAAATCAAAGAAATACTTTAACAAACGAACGAACGAACAAACGAACGAAAGAAAGAAAGAAAGAAAGAAAGAAAGAAAGAAAGAAAGAAGCTAAAATACAGAAACGAAGTAAGGGAAGAATGAATTAAACTAAAAGAAGAAGAAATGAATAAAGAATAATAGAAAGAAAAACGTCGAACGGAAAGTGAATAATGGAGACGAAGAAAATGAATAATGAAAAGAAAACAGTAATAAAACGGATGCAGAGAGAAAGAAAGAAATGAAAAAAAAAAAAAGAAATTGAAAAAAAATGAACGAAACAAAGAAAATGAAGAAAGGAAACACAAAAATTAGGAAAGAGAATAAAACTAGAGAAAAAAAAAATAAAAATAAAAATAAAAACGAATGAGTGAAAAGAAAAGAAACTGAAAGAAATGTAACCGAAAGAGAGGAACAAAAAGAAAGTAGAAAAAAAAGAACGAAAAATAACTGGAAAAAATGTTGAAATAAACATGAGAGAAAGAAAGAGAATGAAAGAAAGTTACGAATAGCGAATAAGAAAAGAAGCAGAAAAAGTCGAAAAATTAAGCAAAAAAAAAAAGTTTTATTTCGAGAGAAAACTGGTGAAATATAATTTTTGAAAATAAAAATATCAGAAATCACAGAGTATACTTCACTTTTTCATAGTAACCAAACAAGTCGGTTTTCAGATAAATAAATAAAGGGAATGGCGAAAAAATGCCTGGAGGTGTGATTCCCAATTACATTTTTTCACAGGTACATTGCAAATGTTACACGCAAACTATTGAAATCCCTGGAAAAAAAATATCATTCATTCTTATAAACCTCTTTGTACCAGTGATTCCGAATTCTTAAGATTTCAATTTGAATATTTTTCATCATTGAAATCGCAAGCCAATACTCTATTTTTTTATACAAATACTTATTGCAAAATTTGCTTCTAACACTTGTAAATATTTAATACAGTCAATATTTTCCTCTCTTTTCCCCTTTTATTGCGACTTGAAAGCCTTCGTCTGAATCACGAACCAGATGTATCTAAATACAGCGAAATTTCCGTGTATCCGCTGTAAAATTACGAGTCTGAAAAGATTACTTTTTTTTTTCCTGCCGAATGAAAGCAAAAGACACCCTTTGCCCTGAAAGCATATCTCCATCATAATGTGGAAGGTTTGCAGTTTTTCTTTTCTTTTCAGGTGGGGTGTCGGAGCAAACGACGACCACTGTCCTTTGCCTGACAGAGGCCTCTTCAATAAAAGCTCGATGATTTAGTGAAGCGAAAGACATGAAAGAGAATCGAGCTGTTGATATAAGAATTGAGTGCCTTGAAGCCGTCAAAGATTAGAATATGAGACAACAATCGTCGATAATGTGTATAACATTTCAAGATTTAACCTGAATAAAAACGAAGAAACGCAACGAGGAAAGAAAATGGGAAATAGAAAAAAAAATTCCATAGATAATTTAAAAGGCAGAATCATTGCAGATAAAAAAAGATAAGGGCATGGTTTCACGGTGGGCATATAAAAAGTGAAACATGTCATATTGAGATAAGAATAAATGTGTCATACGCAGATATGTGAAAGAAGGAATAAGCAACAAATATCGTCTGTATGGATCGAGAGATGAAGCTGTAAACAGCGGAATAAACGCTGACAACTTGCTGGAAGAGAATAGAAAGGCAGTCCCCAAAATAATGCGCTGTGAATTGTGCAAGTGAATCAATTTTCAACCAAATGTAACCATGATAAAGAAGAGGTTAACTTAAAACATTAATAAAAGATAAACATTAGAAGTTTTCTGACCTCAAAAATATTTCTGCAGAGACAACTTTTTCAGCAATTATGTAATTATGCTAAGCCTGACTCTAGACATAGTTACACAGCTCTGACCAACGGGAAACATTGGACTAATTTCTATATTAATCATAACAAATTAATTCAGTAAACTTACTCTTTTTTTCCCTTGTTTCAATAATTCGGTACTGTTTTAAGAAAATCTAGTCAAACAGATTATTTTCACGTATTTAAATAATTCCATGAATATTTTTCGCGCTCCGTCCGACTAATTTTTAGTAATATGAAATAGCAGACAACAACAAATCTTATTATGAAAGAAAAGGTTTTTTTTTTTTAACTTGCAACTGATTTTTGACAATTGATTTGTTTTTATATCAATACTTCTATACAAACAAGATAAATTAAAATAAAATTATCGAGAGAAAATTTGCTTATATATAGTAATTTTTAAAATTTGAATTGAAATAAATAACTCATGAATTATTTTTTAAAACTTGCTTTTAATTTTTCGAATGTTTGTATTATTATCATTATTATTATTATTATTATTAATGATGATGATGACGACGACGATGATGATGATAATAATAATAATAATAATAATAATAATAATCATCTAGGTGATTGACTATTTTCATTTGTCTTAATAAATGCAGTATAGTTTCAGGCTCCTGTCGACTAATTTAACATGAAATCGCAGAAAAATACAATGCTTATTACGAACACTAGGTTTTCTAACTTACATCTGATTTCTGACAAACCAGATATAAATTGTTTTTATACACAGTGGACAAATGCTTAAAAATTATTGAGAGAAAATTTGCTTGTATATGGCAATTTTCAAAATTTGAATTAAAAATAAATAATACATAAAATATTAATATATTTTTTCAATACAGGTTAAATATTACAGTTTATAACGTCATCGCCCTTTGTCGGTAATATATACCTATAAAAGGTTGGCTAACAAAGCGTGCCATTTTGTTTTACTTTTATAAGTAAAAGACAAAATTAACTTAACGCAAATGTATAAAGAAAAGATAGCCTAGAATCTTGGCATCAAGACAAACTATTCAATCCAAACTAAAAGAACAGATCTACTGCTTTTGCAGAATTCGAAAAGAAGTTTTCTGGAGTTCAGATGTCTCTGCAGTATTGAAATCAAAGGGGGGAAAAATCTACTACTTTACCCCACCCCACAAAAAATATCCACAACTTAGCGCGAAAACTAAAAAGTTATCTAACTTTTCTTAATCAGTATCTCCCGATGTAAGTCAGTAAAGCTACTAAGACACAAGGGGGGGGGGTTACTGGGTGTGGAAGAATTAGAAACAGAAACATTAATAATGATCGGAAAGAGAAAAGAGTAATCAGGAGGACGGAAAATAGCGATTGACATTGCATTTAAATTTTTGCAGATTAAAGTAGGCTGGAAAGCATGGAGCCGAAAGGGAGTTCCAAGAGCGAGAAGTGCGAGAAATGAAACTATTTGCATAGAATTTACGGCTACACCTAACTAGCTCAACTGTAAATTGATGAAATCTCAACGCCAGTCTAGTACTGCACTTAAAATTTAAAAAAAATTCTACTTGCCAAAACGAAGAGCGATATTTATTTGTAAAAATACAAAATGTGGCACAAAGCCAAAAATGGGGAATGGGGAAAAATTTAAACTCAGCTAACCACAAACACTGACCCAATTATACCACAATTTTCCTAACACCAAAACAAAGCATTCTTACCATTTTACTACATCCACCATAATACCCCATGAAAGTCCTAACTAGTCCCCATATGTACAATTCTTTGTCTGTCAGGGGAGGGGAATAAAACAACAACTTAAAAAACATCATAGGGAAGAGCGATATTTATTTGTAAATATATACAAAATGTGGCATAAAGCCAAAATGGCGAAAGGGGAAAAGGACGGTCTTGTTCTGTCTTAACTTTAAACGTACCTAGCCACAAACACTGACCCAAACATGCCACAATATTCCTAATAAGAAAACAACACATTCTTAACTACCTTCCTTACTACATCCACCATAATACCTCATTGTCTCTATGAAAATCCTAACTAGTCCCAATATGTACAATCATGGCGAAGTGCTCACCCGAATAATTACCATGATAGTATTTATGGAAAAGGCATACGGCGCAAACTTACGCCGGCCCAGAAATGACTGAAGCCGAGATGCCAGGTCAGTACTAATAATATTCAAACATAGATATTTCGTTTTGTAGATATTACCATTTATATAATCCAAAATAGGCGCATTATGGTTACAGTATTAACGTTCCGATGATGAGCTCAAATTTCAAAGGGTTGATTTCGCAAGGAGGAGGCTGTAGCTAAATGCTAGCAGCGATAAAATGAGGTGTTCATGCATCATAAAGTTGTTATCCTTTTATTGAAGAGTCAACACCTTAAAAACTCGAATGCAATAAATGAATTCTCTTTCAAAGAAATGAACTAACAAAATTGCATTAAGACGAAACGAATAAAGTAAGTAAAGTTTAAACACAATTTTGATAACAAATGATTGGAAATAAATTCAAAGAACTAGACACACCGTGTCTTAAAAATTGAAGATCTTCAGTCTAGAAACGAGGAGCAGATGTTTACTGCTTGGCCTGGGATCAGGTGTATACAATAATAATAAAAAAAAATGGAGAAAGAGAAAATATTTCTGTTTCGATTTCCTTTCGTTACTTCTTTCGGGTTTTACGCCACAGGTCAACAGTAAATCATGGGAAACATTATAATTAGATACCTCCTAAGAAAAGCGATACCCAATGTTTAAAATTAATTTTTTTTAAGCATTACGCCCCGAGCAAGGCGTGAAGCCACTAGGATGCAGGGGGTTGCAGAAGATTTGGAGCGAGAGTAGATAGGAGTGATAGAAGAAAGGATGAGGAGAGGGATAGTGGATAGATCAACTGGAGATAAAAAAAATCCTTTTTGAAGCTTTTATTGGTTAATTTGCAGATTAGAACCCGCGCTCAGTTTGCATGAACAATTTCCCGAATATTTACATTTATGTGTAATTGTACATGCTCCATTCGAATCTGGCTTGATAAATTTGATAAATTTTTCCGTTTTGGAAATATCGACAAAAAAATTCGGATTCATTCATGTCGTTGGCGGCAGCCATTACTGGCTTTTTGCATACAATCACTGCGGAAACCTAAGTGTGTAAGAATGTACTTAACGGCCTCTTTTTTTTTCTGATCTTACTCGTCTCAACTTGTCTCACTTACTGCCCAAGAGTTCTATATTGTGTGCGCAAGAATCAAGACAACTAAATATTCCAATCATAGCTATTCCTCAACGAATGTATACAAACAACGCCAGTAATGGCTGCCCACGACGCGAATGAGTCCGTACTTTTAATGGTAATAACTCTAAAACGGTAGATTTTATCAAATTTATCGAGCCAGATTCGAATGAAGCGTGTACAATTACACATAAATACAAGTATTCTAGAAATTTTTAATGCGAACTGAGCGCGGGTACTAAACTGAAAATTAATCCATTTATTTTAGTTTTAATTACAAGCTAATAGATTAAATTTAATATTTTCAATAAACAAATTACTTTAAAAGGATTTAAATTGATTGGAAGGACATTTTTAATCGCTAAAAATCACAAAAAATAGCGCTATTTACAATTCTTTCAGTACAAAGTAATTCTCTTTATTATAAAAATAACTTCGTTTTTATTGTTTGGGACATTTTTAACATTCTAATTATTTAGTGACTCTTTTGACGTAGGAAGTTATGATACAACGAACAAATAGAAATCACCCAAACTGAACATAGTACTGAATATTATAACTACAAACTGATAATGAGTCATAAAACTGAAAGTCATTCATTTATTCAGTTCGCACATTTTGCGCCACTGTGCTCACCACTCCCCTTCTTTCTGTTGTAATTGTGGTTAATGGAAACATTCAAGGCAAAATAGTGCATTGGCTTATCGGTTCTTTTTGCACCGAGGATGTTGAGGTTACCCTACCCTTCGTCTCAGAAGTTTCTCCGCTCATTGGTAAAGCCGTTGACGTCTGACAGCTTCTACGCCCAGGCTGCCGACTGTCCGATGATCGTTTAGAACAGGTGGGTTAGGGAGAAGCGTTCCCCTTCAACAGTCGGGTCGGAAACCTTTCCGACTATCTCCACAACTTTGGCCGCCAGGTCGATGCCGTTGGCCGGTTTGTGGCTGCCGCAATGCCCATGCGAATTCTTGGAACCATGTGTGGAATTTAGTGGAATTTAGATGCAGGCGGTGGACCAGTATAGTCCCGCATCCTGATTCACCTAAGTAAAGCAGGATTGACCCCTTCAATAAGCAAAATACA